TTATTTTGCTTCCGCTATAATTTATTCTATAAGTAAGTTCGTAATTGATCTTGGGAGATGTTAGAACGATTATTTGTCATTTAATCGATATTTGAAAATTGGGGTGTTACACAAACTATGCTTTAACCCACAAGTTTTAACTTATATTCTTATAAAATTTATAACATCTTTTCTTTTACAAAATAAAACACCAAAATAACACAACTATATATATTAACTTCAATTCTAAAAGAATATTTCAATTATATTTCTTATTTAAACTTCAATTACATATGAGTTCTAACATAATAGTATCTACTTTACTTCTAACAAAATATTTCAACACAAGTATAAACATGTTACTGTAATTCTAACAAAGTAGTATGTAGTTTACCTTAACATATTCTGATAGAATTTTCCCAAATAGTTCAACATATCAAAACCCCTACCGAGTGAGTTGGTCCTGAAATAAAACACAAACCCAATAAATATCTAAAAAAGATACAACAGTAATAATATTGAACCCAAAAATAAAGGCCTAACAGAATAAAAGACATTATGTGAGAATGTCAACCAAAACCTCATTTACACCAAAACCTTCTCTACTGAGTGAGTTGGAATGAGATATTTTCAATTCAATGAAATATCATTCTTGGGTAGAAACTACTTGGCCCTTTTTAAATTTAAAAAATTACCTCATTTACACCAAAACCTTCTCTTTTTGACATTATATCAAACACTTGGAAGACATATAATCAATTTTTTTAAATAGTCAAAAACTTGTTGATAGGTATGAGCATATCTGCATATGCTTCTATTATAGACAGTAAAGAGCATGAAAGTTGCATATGAAATTATAGGAATTAAAGGATTATACCAACCTATGCCTATTTGTATTATTTATATTCACTTGTTATATAAACGACTTAATATAATAAAAGAAGTACAGAACATGAAAGTTGTATATACTTGCTTGGTCTAAAAGAGAAAATGTACTTCAATATTCACATATAGCAATTCAAAAAATAAATGTCTTCTGTAATAATCAAGTTTCTTCTAATTTAAGATTTCAAACCTCCTTCCAATATGGTTAATTCTTCATTAATCTGATTCGTTTCAAACACAAACAATAAAGTAAGATTATTTCAATATTTTTCTTAGGATTCAAGCTCTAAAACGAAATAAGACAGGTGTGATTCCATTATTGAGTTCTCAGAATTAGAAATTTGTAATCATACAAACAAATTGCGAAATAAACCAAAACCGAAAATAAAGGAAAGTAAAACTTATATATATATATATATATATATATATATATATATATATATATATATATATAAGTTAATAACCCTTGGAAGTTACGATTACAAAGTTAATTAAACTTTCATAGTAAAGACTCAAAATTATTAATCAATTATTTTGAATAAATTATTAATTAATAGATATTTTTTTAGCTGTATAAAGTTATAATCGTTGATTTAAATACATGCATGAAATTATATCACCTTATAATCTATATTAATTTTATTTTAATTTTTATTATAATGTTATTAGTTTAATATAATTAGAGTGAGAAATTTAAAATTTGAAATGAAGAATCAATAGGTTGATAAGTGGCATGATATTAATTTGGAGACTTACTAGAGTGACACAAGGCAAAATGAGAGTAAACATATTCTTTTATTATATATATATATATATATATATATATATATATATATATATATATATATATATATATATATATATATATAGCGTGCCCCTGACGCTAGCCAAGAGTCATGCCAGAGACACCACTAGGAGGGCCGCACGGTTGGATCGTCCCAGCCGGCTGCCCCAACAAAGTCTCAGGCCCGCGAGTGTCTATCCAGCAGAACGTTCGTGCAGGAGCCGAGTCCTTGACACTGTCTACTCCACGTCAAAACCAACGACTTCATATGACAAGGAGTAAGCTCAAAGCATTACCACTTGAACCAATCGTTAGCTCTGACAGACAAATGAGCACAATTAGCCAATCAGCGCGCCTGATCCTGTTGGATCTAATGCCCTTGTCCCATGTATGGACTAACAGGAGACCTCAGTATAAAAGGTATCCTCCGCCACTCGGAAAAGTAAGCTATCTCTCTCAGACTCTTACACCCACTCTCAGATAATCCACTGACTTGATTGTCATAGCATTTTCCTAGGATCACCACCCAGAGAATGGCTGACGACCTTGTTTCTTGTTGTGATCTCGCATACCATAGTGAAGCAAGAAGACTCTTTCACTAGGAGCAGCGGAACGAGGTCACATCATATGGCGCCATCCATGGGACTCGAACCTAATTCTTAGGATATTATATCACTAACGAAGGGATCCAACCAATCCATACTAAAGTAGAGGAGTTAATGAGAAGAAATCGTCACATACCTTAAGGGACGTCCAAGGTTTAAATGACAAATTGACTGCATTGAGCCGATTCATTTCCAAGTCGGCAGAGAAGGCTATCCCATTGTTCCAAACACTCAAAGAATGCATCGAAAATATTAACTTCCATTGGACACCAGAGGCCGGAGCAACACTCCAACGCCTGAAGGAATCCATGCACACGCTCCCTACACTTGCTAGACCCATCCCGGGGGAAACACTCCAAGTATACCTATCCATGTCTGACGAGGCCATATAATTAGTACTGGCGGTAGAGAGGTAGGGGAAGCAGCTCCCGATCTATTTCGTTAGTCGAGCCATTCAAGGCCCGAAAGTCATTTACCCCATCTATGAGAAACTGGAGCTAACACTCATTTACGTCCCCCTACGCATGCGGCGATATTTTCAAGTACATCAGATAGAAGTGTTAACAAGCTGCCCAATCAAGCAGGTACTCCTTAATCCATAAACCTCAGGATGTTTAACTAAATGGGAAATAGAGTTAGGAGAGCATGATATCGACTATTGTCCATGCACGAGCGTTAAGGGGCAAGAGTTAGCCGATTTTCTACTAAAAAACCAGGAGACCCATGTCGTTTAAAATTATTAGGAGTTAACGGTACTTATATGTGTATCATAGGCAAGGAGGTGTAAGGACTGTCTACCTCAAAGTGAAGTATTTGTGTCTATGCAATCAAGGCGATTTTATTAGAGCACATGTCGTTTAAAATTATTCTCGATGTGTTCCTTTTTCTTAAAAGTTGATTTCAATGTGCTATACATGCTACTTGTTGCATCATGAAAACTATTTTGAAAAGTTTCTTTTTATTTGATTAAGTTGCATACTTTATAAAATTATTTAAGCATCCTATATGTGCATTTCATATTAAGATGGGTTAGACTTGAGATGATACGCGAATACCTAAAGCTTTATCTTAATGTTGAGAGTGGTTAGATTTCTAGATAATCACCATTATGCGCACCGAGGTTAGCTACCATTTGTGTGGTGCATGTGTCATGGTCCACATGTCACATAGTGAGATGTTATGTTGGAAGTGTTGTACATATTGAGTTTTGTTAATAGCTTTGTATGACGGGTTATCATGCTATGTTGGGATAATTGTACACAATTAATTCCATGTTATGTGGAGCTACATACCTTATAGTATCATGTTGACCATTTAGACAATGAAACAAACTGAGATGTACATTTGAAATGGGATTAAAAGCATATGCATTGCATTCCTTCTAATGTTTTGAAATTGGCAATGTTGTTATGTTTTCTTAAGTGTATAAACATATATATTAACAAAGCTACCATAAAAGGTATTCCGATTATATGTTGATTTTAAACTATTTGTCGAGGTCTAACTTTGAGCATGGATGATCACCATCATCATTTGCTCTTGAAAAAGTTAACCTTAGGTCTTCACACAAGGCATTCTCATATCTTACAATATATTTTGACATGTTGCTCAAGTTAGAGATAAAGGATACTTGTATATTTAAAAGATGATATTAAATGTAACGTTAGACATTTACTTTTGTTTGAGGTTGATTGTAATATACTCGCTATGTTTTGAACTAAACCTGAGATGTGACATTACTTTAAGTGAATTAGATGCTTAATGTAGTACTTAGTCTTAAACTGTAGTACTCTAAGTGTGTAGCTTCTAAACGTTTGATTATCATATTAGACATATCAATTTAGACTTCCTAAAAAACGGTGAACATTAGAAGTACACATGTTGTGACAAGAGAAGAAAACATTGATGAGATCAATACTAAGATGCAATCGACACCTAATATATGGATAGTTTTAAATCTATGATGCAAGAGATGCTAACCCAACATGAAGTCAATATACTTGGTCGAGTGCAAGAAATGCTAACACAATGAAATCCTGAATGTCAATTCAAAATTTATTTTTTTATCGGTTGGACTTGGTGGTTATTCTGCAAAAAAAATATTTATTTTTTTAAATACATATTACGTTATGATTAGTTTAACTAATTTGATATATTTTCACAAACCAAGTAGTACAATTTTTTAGAGCAATGTTTAAGATTTTACCGTAACTTATGCCTATAGAAAATGATAAATTATTCTTAGAAATTACATATATTTTGTCAAAAGTTTCACATAAAATGCTTACAAATCATAGTGGAAATCAACATTCAATGGTATGTAATAAATTCATAATAAAGAACATAATTCCTCCACATTAAAACTTGACTTGTCTATGAATTGATCATTTATCCCTAACCTTGTATCTTGTTGGATGCACATGGGTGACTTAATTAGGCTGTTTAGCTTGAACAAACAGATTGCATTTCTCTACAGTCTAGATACATTATTGTCGTAGTTAATGATAGGGGAAGAACATAATAACTTCAACTAAAAGAACTACTTCACATTTTCTGATTCTGTTTTCTTCTTCTAACCTAATCATAAGGTTCGCTGACATTCTCTCTCTAAATATTAAAATATTATATATTTGGGTATAATATTTAACTTATGTGAAAATTACGTTTGTTGTATAAACTGATAAATAAAAATAAAACATAAATATCTATATATGATTTTACAACTTGACTAAAATTAAAAGTAAAGATACGATAGAAGTAGAACAACTAACATGGTGAACCAAGAGGCAGAAAGAACTAAAGCAAAATACCTTTTTTATCTCTTGATGATCAGAATCCATAAAGAAACTAAAGCCTGTTGTTGTTACAGTGGTTGGATGATGAACACCTGCTCCTCTTCTGCTACCTTCTTCTCTAATTCCTCTCACCATTTCACTTTATCCTTGCATACTCCACCTCATTTCACGTGAATACAGACCATGCTTTCTTTCATTAGGGTTCTTTCTCAATACTTATTGCTCTTTTGATTTAATTCCACCGACAGCTTCCCTGATCCACCAATTTCCTACCGGATCCGACTAATTATTCCGTTTCTAACCTGAGGTTCTCTACAATTTGGTGTTTAATCGGTTTGGTTCGACAAGTGTTCGTCGACATAACTTTTGACTTCGGTACGGGTAAGTTAACGATATTTTTACTTGCAATTCTGTGTTGGAAGAGGATTTTTGAGTTGGAATTGCTTGGACCTAGCTCAATTGGGGGTTCGTTTTCTTCGTAACGTTATTGGGATACTTTAATTTGAAAATTAGGGTTTATGAAGTCAATGATATGTATAGAGTTGGTGGGATGAGGATAACCACTATACGAGCTAAATTGTATTTATGGGAGCTCGCATAATGTTAAACAATGCGCACATTTTGTTCTCGTGGATGGAATTATGTTAAGCTTTCTGCTTAGTTATCACATCCTTGAATTTATCGGGGGAGTTTCTAGGGTTTTCGTCAGCATCCATTGTCCGGTTTGAAGATATTTTGCTGGAATTGGAGTTATATGGGAAGATATTTGTGGTAGCCGTGGACGAAGAATGCCTCCTTCACCTGCAATGAGATGTTCTCCTGGTAGAGAACCAAGAGCTGATAATCACAAGAGAGGACGCAGTCTTGAAAGTGGAGTACCTTTGAAACAGAGAGACGATGATCTTGCTTTGTTTAATGAGGTGCAAAACAGAGAAAGAGATAACTTCTTGCTTCAGGGAGACGATGATTTTGAAGACATTTTCGGTAATATTTTATGCTTATTTGGTTTCCAGATTACAAATTTCCTTGAAAAAGGAAAGTAATGATAAACGATGTTGGTTACCAAGTCTGATTGTATGCATTTCGTGCAGCGAATAAGTTGCGCCACTTTTCAGATTACAAACTTGGGATCAACATTCCTGCTAGAGGAGAAAGCAGTGACCTCCTCCATGCAGAAGATGAGAAGAATGATTATGAATGGTTGGTAGTCATTTGTTTTTGTACCCTAAATTCCAAATTGGTTAGTTTCTTAGTTATCTCGTGACTGATTTCTTTCATGAAATGTAGGTTAATAACTCCTCCTGAGACACCTCTGTTTCCCTCATTGGACGATGAAGCACCACAATTTAATCTTGCACAAAGGGGTAGAACTCGAACTCAACCAATATCAATCTCCAGATCACCAACAGTAAGTCATATCTATATATATCTTTGGAGCTATAATCATATTCTTTCCTTTTTACTCTGGTAAGCTATATATATATATTGTGTTTCTTATTGACTTAATTTATATTTTAGATGGAGAAAGGGCGTAGAAGTAGTAGAGGAAGTGCAAGTCCAAATCGCGTGAGCCTCTCTCCTCGATCTCATAACAGCACATTTGAAGGCAGACATCGAGCATCTTCAGCAGCCAGTGCTAGTCCACCTGCTACTTTAAGGCATAATAATAATACCCCTCCAGCTTATAGCCATAGATCACCTCCACCATCTCGCAAGCCCTCATCACCGGTCCCACGGGCTTCCACACCCCCTCCTCCACGAAGATTAAGCACAGGTTCTACTAATGGCACCACAACTACTACAAAGGGTATAAGAGGAAATTCAGCTTCACCAAAAGTAAAGGCGTGGCAATCCAGCATTCCTGGTTTTTCCACTGAGGTCCCACCCAATCTAAGAACCTCATTGGCTGATCGACCGGCTTCGTATGTACGTGGGTCCTCACCGGCTTCTAGAAGTAGCAGACAATCAATGTCGCCTACTGCTTCTAGAAGCATTGGGTCCTCCCATAGTCATGAAAGAGATAGGTTTAGCTCACATAGTAAAGGCTCGGTTGGGTCTTCTGCTGAGGATGACATGGAATCGCTTTCGTCTGTTCTTGTAGTTGTTGGACGCCCAAATTCTAGAAGAGTTGGTGTCGGTGGGTTTCAGAATAATAAAGCTTCACCTTCCAAAAAGCCGATTAGAACAATTTCTTCTAGTTCAGCTCCCAAGAGATCCTTCGACCTTGCACTAAGACAAATGGTATGTTATTATCTATTTCTTTAATCAATTTCATAAATATTTCTTTAAAACATAATAGGTCAACTAGGGGTGTAAGACTAGTTTTACTATACCTTTTGGTAACCAGTTTTGTTGCAGGTAGTATCAAATTGATTTAGACAACTAAATAATCAGATTATTAAATGCATAAGTAGGTTACTAAAACACTTGAAACTAATTATCAATCTTTACTCTTTACCCTTTATGTGTGTTGCTGAGAATAGCAATGTACTCTACTCTCACTATCAAAATGGACAATGAGCTTTACTTTTTAGCTTTTACCAATAATAGCAACATACTTACATTTCTTTACCGATTATAGCAATATACTTTGTTTTTACCTATAACGGCAATATACTTACGTTTTGCTAACAATATGGGCATTGTATTTTATTTGATATTGCTATTATTATTTGTTAGTAAAGAATATAAGTACATTTCTATTACGAGTAAAGGATTACAAGTACATTGCTATTATGTGTAAAGAAAATTTTGAGTAAATTACAGAGTACTAGCTGATTTTTGCAATTTTAGTCCCAAAAAGTTGTCTTTGCAATTTTGGTCCTCATGTCAGGTTCATGTGACGCACTTTTCCCCTTGGTATAGCTGAATTTTGCAAATTTGGTCCTAAAATATAGTCATTTTCTTGGAACAGGGACCAAAAACATCAAAAAAAAAAAACCTCATATTAGTACCAAAATTGCAAGAGAAAACTTATTGGACCAAAATTTTAAAAATCAGCTATACTCAGGGACCAAAAATGTAATTTACTTGAAAACTTAAATATGTTGCTATTATGAGATACATATTGCTATTATAGGTAAAAAGACATTATGGGTAAAAACTAAAGTCCATTGCCTATGTTGGTAAAAAGAGTAAAAATGCTTGTATTTCCTGCAATTTGCGAATAGAATTAGAAGTTTTCTTTTTGTTTTGAGTGTTGAATATTTTGGTGTTTGTTTGTAGGATCATAGAAAAGGACAAAATATGTTCAGACCCCTTCTCTCGAGTGTCCCGAGTTCAACTTTTCATGCTGGAATTGCAACTTCCCCTTATCATCCTGTGATATCTAGGAACTCCTCTGTCACAACTAGTAGTAATGCAAGTTCTGGGGTGGCAATAAGTGGTGCACATGATCCCGATCACGAGGCTAGCCAGGATGATGCAACTAGCGGATATGTCAAGGTGCAAGATGATGATCATGATGTTGATGTTGATGTTGATGCTGATGATGAAGTGTTTATGATCGAGAAAGATGATGGAAATGATTCAGTTTTGGACAATTCAAGAAATATCATAGATCTTGATCCTGCAACTTTAACAACAATTGATGATGTCTCAGATATCAGTACACAAAAGGAGATGTTAATTTGTTCAAAATGTGGTTGTGGGTACTCTCCTATTGGACAAGTAGAAAAGGACACAAATCTTTGTGAAAATTGCATGGAATCGAATTCATCTTTGACCATCATTGACCCAGTAGTGGTTTCAGGGCCTGAACCCGAGTCGACTGCTATTGAGCCTCAAATGGCTGTGGTGGAATCTCTACAAGCTATGGCTAATGATTTAGTCAAAGATGGTCAAAGTGAGGGGAATGTTGAGTTTTCGAATTCAAAGGTTGAATCTTTAGAAGGTGCGGGTATTTCGATACTGTTGAAAAGGTCAAGTAGTATAAAGGGTGGTGCGGTTGTCCGGAACACAAACTTTTCAGCAAGTAGCATTTCGTATGATGATTTTTCTTATGTTAGAGACACTACAAATAGCATGAGAAGTGTATCTGCCACATCTTCTGTTGACTTTGGTCAAGGTCAAAGTAGACAATCGGATACCCGTTTTCAACGTCAATCAAGCATCACCAAATCTGAAATCGAACACTCAAAGCACCAGAGAAGTGGATCATCATTGTCTGGAACTTCTAGCCATGTTTTCCATCCTTCAAGCCTTGGAACAAGCACACTTGATTCATCTGGGAAAGATGTTCAAGAAAACAATGAAGAGGAAAATGACAATGTTGATTCTGGGGAATCTTTATTGACTAATATCTTGAAAGATGAAGAAGAGAGTGTTGGATTTCAGAACGCTGAAGATTTGGGAGATGATGATACAGCTCTTGATGCTTGTAATGATGACGCTGATGCTGCAGAAGTTCCATTGGATGTGATTTTAGAAGGAGAATCGGCTTCTCCTTCAAAATGTGATGTTTCACAAAATTCAATGAGCAGCATTGAAGAATTGCCGGAAGATGTAACGCTTTCTGCTGAGGACTTTGGGACAACTTCTAATCACACAAGCAACGTTATTGGTACGTGTTTTATAAATAATATATATATATATATATATATATATATATATATATATATATATATATATTTAAAATCTTATACATAATGCATTTGGCAATAGTTAAATGGCTAAATCGATAAAAAGTAAAAAAAAAATATTGTGTTTTTGTGTATTTCAACCTTTTATAAAACTGGATAATTGGAAAAAATGATTTTTTTTAGAAGGTGAAAAAATATAAATCCTATTGTATTGGTTGGACTTGGACATGAATTTGGCCCATATCTGAAAAGCAAAAAGCAAAAGTAAAATGTAAATTTGGCAAAAAGTTAAAGTAAAGTTATTTTTTTGTAATTATGAAACACGCCGACATGCATGGCAATGATGCTAAGTTTTAGTGATGGCAGGGGAATCCATAGTATTGATTGAAGAGGAAGGAGGACCCAAAGGAAGAAGCTTGACACTAGAAGAAGCAACAGACACGATACTCTTTTGCAGCTCAATAGTCCATAACCTGGCCCACAATGCTGCAACCATAGCCATAGACAAGCAAGACCCATCTTGGCCACTCATTCCAGCCACACGCAAATCCCATCTCAATGAACCCGACTCTCATACCCGCAACACAACCAAACGCTCATCAAAATCTCAAAAATCCAGACACAAAAAGGACACAGAAACCGACCCCACAAAATCCCCCAACACCACTGAAAAAAACCAAGGTAAAATCGATCAGCACAAAACCCGTATTGTTGGGGTTCGGGACAATGGGGAGAGTAAAAAACCTCCGTTGCTGGAATCTAAATGCAACTGCACAATAATGTGAAATAATAGCTATCACTATTGCAGTGAAAGCTGTACATTCCCATGCACTTGTCCTGTTCTTGGGGTTTTATTTTATTTTTTGGGTTCCACTTCATTTGTTGCAACTGTAACTTGTAAGCAATATTTGTAAAGGGTGGGTTTAAAGTTTAATTTGGTAGGTTGACGATAGTATTCTATTCTTGTATCCGGGTATTAGTGTTATCCGTATACATATAAAACAAACAACAAGCCCTGTCATTCTTTTTTTTTTTTTTTTTTCTACGATTGTTGATTGTTGCGATATGTTATTTGGGTTTGTACATGTGGAATGTGCTTCGTCGTTGCTCTCCTGTTTCAGGGCTGTTTTTGTAATTTTAATTTTATTGCGATGAAAGTATTAATAATTTTTTAATTCTTTTGTTTTTGTTCTTATGAGTCGATTTTCAATCACGTTAACTTATTTGCCATTTTGTCGTGTATATTGCTGTTGTCATTTCTCAAAGCACGTTAACAAAATATAAATATAATGTAACTGGTGTAATCATTTAAAAAAACAAATTTCATATATCCATTTATATATCCTGCGTAAAATCTGGTTTTTGATAAAAATTAATTTCATACATCATGGATATTAAAAGTGTACGTTTTCACCTGTGTACAGTATTTTAATGCGGATGAATTAAAAATTAAAATTTTCCCTCAATCAGACAAGGCGGGAAAACATGAGCCCCTGATCTATTTAGTTCTCTCTTCTCTTCTTCCGGCGCCGTTATCCGATGGATAACTCTGATTCAGACTCCGGTGGATCTCACATCTCGTCCACGCCTCCTCGTCAACCATATCAGCCTCCTCTCCATCGCCGACCGCCACCGCAGGCACCACATACTCTTCTCTTTTCTGGTAACCAACAAAAAAACCCCAAATCGAAAACCAAATCCGGTTTCTCCCGGCCAATTTTGAGAATTAAACCATCCACCAAGAAGACTAAGCTCCCGCCTTCGAAATCTACACTTAAAACCGATGGAACTGACCCGATTCAAAGCCCCACTCCATCCGCTATGCGTACTCCTGATGTTGACCCACCGCTTCAAACCCGCCGGTCCTCCGGTGGTGATTCGTTGGATACTATTGCTCCGACTGAGACTCTTTCAGCTGAGCTACCATCTAACATTCACCGGTCCTCCGGTTGTCCTTCGTCGGATACTATTGGTCCCATTGAGATTCTTCCAGCTGAACTACCGTTTAAAATTCACCGGTCATCCGGTTGTGATTCGTTTGCTACTATTCGTCAGGGTGAGAATCTTCTAGCTCGTAGCTCACGCTTCGCGTCAATTTATAAGAACCGTAAGCTTTGCTTGAACTTAGAATCAACCGAAAAAGGAATTGATCATGGTTTGGAAGCCAAAATCGGAGTTAGTGAAAGCCAAGTCGGAGATGCTACTGTCATAGACTCGGAAACAATTGTGAAGGAGCATCCGAATTTGATTGGGAGTTATACTTCTCGATTGGAACATCCGAATACGCCCGACCCTACGTGTGTAAATGAAACCCTAGGTCGAGATGTTAATGCTAGAGATTCAGGGAAAGTTGTGAAGAGGCATCCTAACTTGATTCCGAGCGGTGTTTACCCCAAGGAGCAGGTGAGCAAGCCTAAACTTGTAAATGAAGGGAATTTTGTGAGATTGAACATCAATGGTCATGGGGGACGCAAGAAGTATGCAAACAGAGTTAGAAAAAAGAATCCGAATGCTTATAATTCAAGTCGCAAGTCTTACAAGAGAATCAAACGAAAACGGAAAGGTGGAGGTGAAGGAGAAGAGGAGCAGAGTTTCTGTGAAGAAGAAGTTTTTCCATTGGAGGAAGATGAAGAGACTGAAACGAGACTTGATTCAGAAGTGATTGAGCAGGCTGTGCTGAATGTTCGACATGATCCATCTGATGAGAATCTAATCAAGTTGTTGAAGCTTACTTATGGGTATGATTCTTTTAGGGTTGGGCAATTGGAAGCTATTAGATTTATACTTTCTGGGAAATCAAGTATGGTGATTTTGCCAACTGGAGCTGGAAAGTCACTATGTTATCAGTTGCCTGCTATGGTTCTACAGGGAATGACACTTGTCATTAGTCCATTGGTGTCACTTATGTTCGATCAACTCAAACAGCTGCCGCCAGTGATTCCAGGTGGTTTATTATGTAGCAGTCAGGTATTATCTCTGTGTATATACATTCTGATCTTTCATTTCAATTCATAATTTCACATGTCTGATTGTTGTTTATACTATTGTTGTAGACACTAGAAGAGAGTGCACAAACACTTAGGCGGGTTCAAGAAGGAGCCTTGAAGGTGAGTTCATCAATGATTCTTACTGAGTTGAAATCTTTTTGAACATGTACATTGATCTATTTGTGTTTCAGGTCCTTTTTGTTTCTCCAGAGAGATTACTAAATGCAGAATTTACATCTATATTTTCTACAACTTCACTCATCTCACTAGTTGTGATTGATGAAGCCCACTGTATTTCTGAATGGTGAGTTGCTGTAGTTGCTTATTTCATTTCATCACTTTTTAGCTTCTATCCCACATCACATTAATGCAAGTACACAGGTCACATAATTTCCGTCCTTCATATATGAGGCTTAGAGCATCCATACTTGGTTATAGTCTTGGAGTAAACTGCTTTCTTGCAATGACAGCAACTGCAACTACCAAAACCATGCATGATGTGATGCACTCCCTTGAGATTCCTCCTACAAATCTTGTTCAAACAGAACAAACCAGGGACAACTTGCAACTGTCTGTATCATTGAGTGAAAATAGGCAAGTGAAAAATGCTTTTACTAGATCCCAGTTTTAGAAAGAAAGATGTTCATGATCCTAATCTGTCAATTAATTCAGGATGAAGGATCTGATGACATTACTCAAGGCTTCACCTTACACAGAGGTTAAAAGCATTATAATTTACTGCAAATATCAGGTATGTGTCAGTGTCATGTATGCAACATGTTTACAACCGAAAATGAAAATTTAAATTTGAAAATTCTGAATTTTAATTGCAGTGGGAAACAGATACAATCAGCAAGGTTTTATGTGATAGCAATATCCGAGCAAAGGTAAACAAATTGGCATTAGTGATTAGACATATATCATATAATATTTTGATGATTTCAATATGATGATACTAACAAGAAGTTGGCATTAGAGTTATCATAGTGGGATCCCTGCTAAAGACCGAAGGCGTGCACAAGAGCAGTTCTGTTTAAACAAGATACGCGTGGTACATAAATCTTTCATGTTTTTTTTTTTTTTTTTTTTAAATAACTTCTAAACCTTTCATTTTAATGAAAGTAGATTAAATCCAATATTTCATTATTTCTCACAAATTTTTTTTTCTTCTTGTCTATAAGATTGTTGCAACTGTGGCCTTTGGAATGGGGCTTGATAAAAGTGATGTTGGTGCTGTAAGAACAAATCTTTATTATTTTCATTATTCTTTTTTCTCTTTGTTTTAAAGTGTAATTTATAATTTGAAAACAAATAACTATCTGTTACAGGTAATTCACTACAGTTTGCCTGAAAGCTTGGAAGAATACGTTCAGGTTTATCTCATATAACTAACTATTTATCAAATATCAATCAGTTAGAATTTTGATTTAAGAAAAATATTTAATCTTTATAGGAAATTGGACGTGCTGGACGTGATGGGCGATTATCTCATTGTCATCTCTTTTTCGATGACACAACATACTTTAAGCTAAGGAGTCTCATGTACAGGTATAACTTTTTGCAAGCTTTCAGTTCACATCCAATAAGTTTTCTTCTGTAAAAAAGAGATATTTAATCTTTACCATATGTGATATGTCTTTGCTGCAGTGATGGAGTAGATCAATACACTGTAAATAAATTCCTCTCTCAAGTTTTCACTGGGGATTCACATTCACATTCGAAAGGAAGGATTTGCTCAATAGTCAAGGAATCAGCATCTCGGAAATTTGACATGAAAGAAGAGGTCTGGTCTTTTTACCTCATTAATATGGTAATTAATACAAGTTGTAAAGGGTTTTAAATTCTACACTAACAGTGTTGTCAGTTGTGTGTATCTTTGATTGTTTCAGGTGATTCTGACTATCTTAACTCGCTTGGAGTTAGCTGAAGAGCAGTACTTGCGTTTACTTCCCCAAATAAATGTCACATGTGTTGTAAATTTTCATATGGTGGGTGTGGGTCTCCTACTTAACTGCCACATCATACTCTCTCCCCTTTGACTTTCATTATAGTAGTATACTTGACTTATGGGTTATGTGGTTGATCTGTGTTTGGCAATTTTGTTGATGAATATAGACATCTCCAGCATTGCTTGCTTCGAAGGACACTGTGATCAATGCAATTTTGAAAAAGTGAGTATTTAGTAAGGCTGTTATGAAATTATGCATATTAATAGACTAATAAAACAGAATATGATTCAGGTCTGAAATAAAAGATGGACAATATGTGTTTGACATACCAACTGTGGCATCTAGCATTGGAGTTGAAGCTTCTACCATTTCTAATCAGTTGCACATTTTGAAGGTTTGTTTGGTTTAGTTTTTTCATGTGTTTATGAATTTTTTTTTTTTTAGATTCACTGCCTTTTGCTTTTAGGCCAAGGGAGAAATCACATATGAACTCAAGGATCCAGCTTATTGTTACACAATCTTAAATTTCCCAAAAGATATATGTTCCTTGGCAACAGATCTGGCTGAATGGTTATCAGAAGTTGAGAGTTGCAAGGTAAATTACAAAAAAACACTATTCATATGAGATATTTGTGGTGTTCTCATCTTATTATTATTTTTTGTATTTGCAAACAATTAATTGACACAGGTGCGAAAAATAGACGCGATGTTTAATGCTGCAGTCTTTGCAGTGAAAACGTGTGATAGAACAAAGGGTTGCACTAATTCCCAACACACCGCCTGCTTACAAAAAAAGATCTTGGATTACTTCAATGCAGATAATGACAATAATATCCCAAATAAAATGGGCCAAGCCAGGTCAGCTTTACAAATTGCAAACACATACATAATAATATTAATCCCTTAATCCGTTTTTTCATTTTCTATACTAATTCTATTATTTACCGACTCACATCAAATTTGTGTCTATACAGCCGGTTTTTAAAAGCAGATATCAAGGTAACACATTTCAAATGATATTTTATTATATTATTTTATTTAATAACTTGATTTTTGGTGGGTGTTGTAGGTGTTTCTACAGAGCAACTCACACACCAAATTTACCCCTCGTGCCATTGCTAGGATAATGCATGGTATAGCAAGTCCATCATTTCCTTCTTCAACTTGGTCTAAAACTCATTTCTGGTAAGCTTCACATTATGTTACAATGTTTTTTTTTTTTTAACAATTTCTTTGACATTTCTACATTAATTAAGGATTTTTTTTTTCAGGGGGAGATATATTGAAACAAACTTTAATGTTATAATGGAAGCAGCAAAAGCTCAACTGATTGATTCTGCAGGAAAATCTGCCGTTTAAATGTTTTGCTTCACGGAATATTATTATTGGCCCTTTGTCTTTGTTTTTAACTTTATAGATCTAGATCTACACACTTACCTTGTTATCTTGTTCCTGTAGCTACAGTTTGAGTACTCGAAGCCCTTTAGATAGTTGCTCTGTTATAGATTATGACAAATGTATAGCATACAAATCTTTTGTTACTTTCTTCTTGGACTTTTTCTTTCTCCTTCATAAAATAAAGACATGTTCGTTGTTGTAAAACTATTTGACATATAATTATGTCTGCTATTCTCAAAGTTGCATTTATGATAGTAACGGGACCTTTGCTGTGAAATTCTTACCTTTTAAGAGCATCCCCAACTCACTCTCATTTTTCATTTTCCCCCATTCTTCTCTAACCCTCCCCTATTTTGGGGGACATGAATAGTATTACACCAAATATGGTGTTATACTATTCATTTCTTTTAAAATGGGGATGAACTTTGCGTTGTTGGTTTTAGTCATTTTGTTTATATATTTATACATTTTTTAGTTTATTTTTATCTACTAATTATAATTTAAATGTAATATTTAATACTTATAATATTTTGTTATATATTAAATTATATTAATTAATTATAAATATAAACTTTGTTTTTTGTTCATCATATTCATATAAAAAATTAAATACATATTGAAATTAAAAAAAAACGATAATGTATTGTATAAAAGCTTGTAAGTGTGTTATAAATATAATCTTACAATACATTGGAAGAATAGAATATTCTATGCACTCAAAGGCGTGAATTGGTTTTTTTGGGGACCATATCAAGCAAATCCTCATTCCTTTTTTTTTTTTGGAAAAATAAAAGAAGATTTTCCTTTTCCTATATGTGACCTAATCATTTTTCCTTAATAATAAAGTTTGGTTGGGTGAAAAGTCAAATTTTGAAATTTTAAATAAACAATCCTCCATCCGCTCCGCACTCACTCGCACACACACACACATAAAATAACCATGATGACATAATGAAATTCTTGGAGAACATTCCACATGGATATATTATCACGACAATCTTGGAAATGGTATGGGGATTTCCAAGATTGGAATAGAGGAATTTATCTAAAATGCACCTCCAATGGTCTTCAATTCTCCAAAATAAAACTCCCTAATAATTTGTTAAGAGGATTTTTTCAGATAAAAATCCTATATCCTTTTCAATTGAAACTTTGGTAAAGATCTAAGCTAGGACTCTATGATTCTAATGAGATCTAAAGCAACAAGAGAATTCTGATTCTTGTTTTTTTAACAATTTTTGGAATGGAAACGGGATATCCTATTGGTCTTCCTCAAAAAACAGCTGCCTTTTTAACCTATTTTCAAAGGTATAAACTATAAAGTCGAAATCAGAAAATTAAATTTTAGAGCTCAAAGATTTAAAAATAAAAAGTAAAAAAAAGAAAGAAGCAAAAACATTTTCTTTATAAAACAATTAATAAGAAACATTTTAAAAGGAAATAAAATTCCATTATTTATACCGAGAGAAATATATGAATCAAATAAAACTCAAACAAAAAAGAATTTCATAATCAACAATCAAATAGTTCATGAATCACTCAGTCATATTGGATCTACGGGTTGGACAAATTATTCAGTAACATAAGAAGAAATGAAACATAAGATTGATAAAAGAAACACAATCATATATGAAATAACAATAATGAATAAAAAGAGTAACACTAAGAATCAAAAAAAGAAAAATAATATTGCAGAATCATCCCCAAAATTTTTGAAAATAATAAAAATAAAAATATTGAATAATAGTTAAATTTTTCATTGAAAAAACTTACATGGATGAATTTCTATGTATCATTGATATACGCATAATCTCTCAACAACGTTTTATCTAATCAACAATTTTTTTTATTGATAATGATAAATACATTAATAGTAATGAAACAAATTAAGGAAGTATTAATAAGTCTCTTACAATCTTTCTTCTTTTAATAAATTTAGAGTTACAAAGTCTTATTGCAGACCTTCGTCTTCACGAGGAGTTGTTGAAACAGACTCCATCGCTTGGCGTTGTCACCATATGTTGAACTTCTAATGCCTTCGATAAGAGATTTTACAATGCAATAAGATTGATTGAAGTTTTTGGTCCATTAACCTTTCCTTCCTACACCCAGAATAAAGGCTTCCCTACCGTGGGTGGGTTCATTATGTCGTTTGCCTTCGACTAGTTGAAAACGATCCATTTATATAGATGAACTAATCATATTTTTTAGATGGAATCCGGTCAATGACTTTAGTGGAAATGACAACCCTGCTCTCCATAAAAGTCTCAACTACCCGAGGCTAAGGTGGATTTGTCAATTGCAGTGTTTTCGGCAATGATTATAATAGTTATGGCCTTTGCTCAAACCTACCTGATCAGAAAGATAAGGCTCTTTGATTTAATAAAATTTAGGTCAAAAATAAATTGATCAATAATTGGGATGAACAAAGTGGTAGAGATTGTAACAAGGTTTCCAAAAATATAAAGAACACTGAAATCCGAGTTATAACGAAGAAGTTATGACCAATCGAAAATCCGCGACAAAACCGGCAAAACACTGTTCAGTGTAAAATGTGAATTTTCGATAAAAGGCTTTTTAGCCTTAACAATCTAAATGAAAGTTGTAGAATATGTTAAACCGAGAACGTTCATAAAAAGAACGTAAAAATCTGACTTCGTATGAGGAAGTTATGATTTTTCTAAGTTTCGGTTTAGCAGTAGACAGCTAAAAATTCGAAATATAAATCGATCGATATTTAGCCGACACAACTTAAATGAGAATCGAAGGTCTCTTCAAAAGTAGTACAACGGTAAAAAGACAGACGAAAACGGACGTCGGATGAAGAAGTTATGAATTTTTAACGGATTTCCTGTCCCGGACTGTTAAAAATAATAATATTAAAAATAACGTCAAAATTAGCCAACGAAGTCTAAACGAAAGTCGTAGAGTATGATTTTACCTACGCGTGCATATAAAGAACGTCAAAAACGGAGCTCGTATGCGAAAGTTATGAATTTCGCAAGTTTTTGGCACGAAAATCGAAAAATCTAGAAAACCGGGAAATTTCGCATGGGTGACCTTCGGACACGTCACCCTCGCATGCGAGCCTCCACGTGTCACCTTCTGATAGGACCGAAGTTCGCCGTGTCACCATCTGATTGGACCGCAACCGAGGTCCAGTAAGCAGCCGACACCTTCGCATGAGACACCCCCCGGACACCCCTCGGACACATGCCCTCTTCCCATTGGACCAAAAGTTCGGCCCACTCAGAAGCCACCACGTTCGAAGCCTCGCCCCGTGTACCATTCGCATGACCGACGCGTGTGCTGCTGACTCCTTCCTTCGCCACCTGTCCGAACACGTGGCAGCCTCGCATAGCTTCGGATCCGAGGCTTCGGACTATAAATAGCCGCGAGACCCTCCAGATTTTTACACTTTTCACCCCATTTTTGGTCCTTTTTCACTCCTTTCACTTCCATAACCTCACAAACAACCCCCAAGGCCCCGGTATCGTGTCTAAAACCCGAAGCAAGCCCCGGAGCCCCATAATTCTCGAGAAGATAACCTCTTTCCAGTCGAAGTGCTGCCCGCATAAAGCCGGTTTTTAATAAAAAACTCACGGTTTCTTCGAGAAAGAGCATCTATAGAAACGAAACGCTGCCCGAATCACCGCTTATTAAAGTGAGTTCATACCCCTATAATTTACCTTTTTAATGGTTTTAAATGCTTTTTAGGGGGGGGAATACAAGTTTAACATAATATTAAATTGTGTTAATAACTGTATGTGATAATAATCACACAAAGGGTTTCCTTATGCTTTCAAGGATTACCAAATACTTCCAAAATTACTTAAAGCCATGTTAAATCTTTAAAGTCATGTAAACTCCGTTAAAATTCTTTGAAAAAGGTTGTATAAACTATTTCAAATTATAAATGCCAAAATCATGTTTATATATGTATAAATATATAAATAAGATTTGAAGGGCTTAGGACTAATGAATTATCTTATTTCCTTTTCCTTGTTTGGATGTGGAATTAAGGTTGTGTTATTTGTCCGAAGGTCGTTTCCTTCTTAATTATATATATATTATACATATATGAATATAAAAGGTTACTTCATTCGGTATCATTACCTTTGTATCATGCTGAGCAAAGGTGTTCATCCATGAGAAATCGTGCTAATCAGATAGAACATATAAATTATAATAGGTATAATTTATGATTCAAAACTAAATATACAAGCATGATTCACATTCCAAGGAAAGTACCAAAATTCATTTAATTATACCAGGATATGTATAATATCTTTAATATATAAACAACATATTAAAGAGGTAATAATACATCATACCGGGATTGCATTAACAAAGGTACGATACAGAGTACCAGGGTTAGCGATCACGGGGTAATAATACATCATACTGGGTTTGCATTAACAAAGGTACAAATATAACGTACCAGGGTTAGCAAACACCAGGCCCGGTTTAGGGTAGGTGCAATATGGGCATTGGAACAGGGCCCAAAATTTTGAGGGGCCCAATTTTTTTATTTATTTATTATAATATATCATGTATCGGTTCAGGCCAAGGAATCCAATTGGAAATCAACATCGTCAAACACAAATCGAAGTCAGCAGCGAAGCGATCAATCGTTCCGTCAAGGCATCAATTGATCAATACATCATCGATTCACAATGTTCGTTTTGTTAAAAAAAAAGTCGACAGTGGGCGTTGGGCAGGGCATCAGGCATTGCGCCTCAACGACCGCTTGCAGCAATCATCATTGATTCATCATTCATCGATCGTCCATCCAGGCTCCATCCATCCTCCATCAGTCCATCGTCGATACACAGATTCAAGCCTAGGTGAGGGTCGATTAGAGTCTTGGTCTCTTGGGCAGTTACTCAGTTAGACAATTATCTATTATTTTATTTATAATTTATCCTTTATTCTGTTATCACTTTATCAATGATTTTCATTCTTGATTTGTGGTCCTGTCAATGTAATAGATTATGAGAAATTAAGGAATGAGGAATTAATGATTATGAGTTTCTAAATTATAATTGTCAATTCAATTGGATACTTGAATAGTTGGATGTTTAAATGAATTATAGAATAAATAGATTATCAATTTTCCAGATTCATGGCATGTTTAATTGTGTAATTGTTTGACAATGTTTAATTTTTTAGATTCTTGAATGTTATTCATAAATGTTTAATTGTTTATCACTATATCGTATTGTCATTATGCCATATTATCAT